CTTCAATAGTTTTTGTTCATCAATGTGTCTACTAATTGTTTCATTAATAACATTTTCCACCAACTTACCCGGTATCGATGTCAGACTGACTGGCCTGTAATTTCCCAAATCTCCTCTCGAATCCTTTTTAAAGATGGGAGTGACATTAGCTACCTTCCAGTCCTCAGAAATGGAGGCAGATTTTAATGAACGATTACATATTTTTTTAAGGAGATCCACAAGTTCACATTTGCGTTCTTTCAGAACTCTTGGATGTATGCCATCGAGGCCTGGTGATTTATCAGTTTTTAAGTTGTCTATCAGTCATAGGACCTCCTTTCTTGTCAGCTCAATCTGACTCAGGTCTTTCAACACCCCTCCCGAAGTCAGCAGTTCTGGAGTGGGCAAGCACTTCTCATCTTCCACAGTGAAGACAGAGGTAAAAAATGTATTCAGCTTCTCAGTCGTTTCCCTATCATCTTTGAGTACTCCTTTTACCCCTTGGTCATCCAAGGGCCCCACTGCCTCCTATACAAAAAAATGTAGCCCCTTATTGCTAGGGTGGGATAAAAACACAGATTTTGTTTTATATTTAATCCACTTTTTAAAACATGAGGCCCCCCCAAAAAGTGACTTAATAAAAAAAAAAAACAATCAAAATACTGGTTTAAAATTATACAGTTAAAACACTGAGGAATTTCACATTACCCTTTTTAACCCGTTTTGAAGCCGTTTTTGATCCGTCGTTGAGTAAACCGGTATAGGGCTGCCATTTCACACATGGATTTCCCCTTCCGGTAAAGAGCTGGATCTTAAGCAGTTTGCCATTTCAGACTGCACCGCTTTCCCCCTGCCATTTTTCACCCGTGCGGGCGATCTCCGGCTTTTTTTTTTTACGTTCGCTTTAGATCGCTATAGCACTATAGTGCTATAACACAACACTCCAGGCATTCCAATGGGGTTGATATAATGCTGTTGTGTTATTGCGTTATAGCGTTATACCGCTATAGTGCTATAAAGCGAACGTTCCAAAAAAGCCAGAAATCACCCGCACGGGCGAAAAACGGTGGGAAAACGCATCGGAACTGGGAGAGGAAACTGAAGACTACTTGGAAGCAGTAGACAGGTAAAACGCTTCAGCCCCGTTTCATAAATGGGACAGAAGCGTTTATGTGTGAAATTACAAATACATTCCAGTAGGGAACTGGTTCTAAAACGGTTCTGTCTGAAATGACAGACCAGAAAATTTTTGGGAACCATTCCTCTTCCGGATTATATCGTCTGTCTGAAATTCCTCTCTGTGAATCAATAATGACATCATCTGAATTAAGGGTTTCTCTTCACGAAGCAGCGTGTATGTCATAGACAAGTTCTCCATAAAGGCTTTTAAATGATTTGTCACGTCAGCTTGTGCATAATACTCTGCTTGAAACATTTTACTTACTGCTACTCAGCTACTTTTTTTTTACTTCAGCTGTACAGTCCTTACCTGTGTCTTTTCAGTTACAAAAGAATTGTTATCCTATGTCATTTATTCTTGCAGTTCAGGTTTGCTACTGCAGTATTCTGTGTAGTCTTGCAAAAGCAGCTATCCTTTTGTTCATAACAAAGAAGAGTGGGTTTTGAGATTTGGGAATGAGCCTGGGGATGGTGGGTGCTGGGGAAGAGGGGAGATCTGTGGTTTATAATGTTGTAGAGTCCTACCTCCAAAGCAGCCATTTTCTCCAGGGGAACTGATATGTCATCTGGAGATCAGTTGTAATTCTGGGAGATCTCCAGTATCCCCCCTCCCTTGGAAGCTTGCAGCCCTAAACAGGAGTATTGTGGCATTTTAATAACTAACATTTTAGAGACACTAGTGGGTTCTGGTCCACTGAAATAAAATTTTGTTAGTCTTTTAAAGGTGCCACAATAATCATTTATTTTTGCTGCATCTAGTCCTCTGGGAGTTGTTATTTTGGGTCAGGTTATCCTCAGCATGATGATCCTCTGCCATATGTTTTCAGTTAGTTTTTCTGGGCTACAGACTTAAGTCCTTTGCAGGCTTCTTAAGAAAGTCCATGTTTTCCTTCTACAAAAACCTTAGATTTGACTTGTTTGGTCACCCTCAGTTGCTCTAATTGACCCTCTCTCCATGACGTGCAGACTTCTTAAGTACTTCCTTCTTATCAAGAGAATTTTCCATAGTTGTTGGATCTATAGCTTCTGTTCATGAATATTTGGTTTTTCTTTATCTCTTGTAATCTGTGATTCCTTCTCCAAAGTGTGTGCGCGCGTGTGTGTTCCATATTGCCTCATAGGCTTCAGTATACCTCTTCTGGGATATTTTAAGGCTAAAATGTTTTTAAACAAATTAATTCTTGTGCTATCTGAAATAAAATAATATTTACTGTGGCACAGAAGTTTCATATTGGGCCAAAACTTCAGAGTTTGTTCAAATGCTCAAGATAGAATAAAAAATTAAATAGTCTTGTTCAAGAAGGGCTGGTTTTAATGATGAATAATCTTGAAAGATAGGGCACAGTTTCCGTTTCTGCCACCAGTTAGGGTGGCCTGTCTGGTATTAACCAGATCCCAGGCGTTTTCCTTTGTGGCTCCAGCTCTGTGGAATGGGCTGCCTGAAGAGGTGAGGGAGACACTTTCCTTGCAGATCTTCAGGAGATGCTGCAAGTCTTGCCTGCTTCCCAGGACTTTTGGGGAGATCTGAATGGCAGGCATCTTTTAAGTGGGAGGGGTAGAAGTTTGTTATTTCATTTCTGGTTTTAGTGGGGAATGTGTTTATTATTGTAAACCACCTTGAACCACAAGGAAAGGAGGGATACAAATGGTCTTATAAATAAATAAATAAATGTGTGTTTTCCTTTTCAATTTTCCCTTTGTGGTTTTCATATCTCAGCTTAAGTGATAGGACCATACTTGGTAATATATGGATAACTGTGTGATCACCCATAAGAACACAAGAGAAGCCAATGTTGGATAAGGCCAATGGCCCATCCAGTCCAACACTGTCACACAGTGGCCAAAAAAACAAGGTGTCATCAGGAGGTCCTGCAGTGGGGCCAGGACACTAGAAGCCCTTCCACTGTCCCCCCCCCAAGCACTCTTTACTTGAGTAGTTAGTGGTCCCGGGAAGCAGCTCTTTGGAAACCTAGAGCATGTATAAATCTATGAAGAAAATAGTAATAATTTAAATTTAGTATAAATTATTGTGATTTGACTGTTTTCTAAAATCAATCTGAATATTTTATATAAATGGTAGTCACACCTGTATACAAATGGTAATGTATCCACGTTAATTCTACTTCTGTTGTGTATTTTGTCCTACTCTTGGATGATTGGGGTGGTAGAGGAAAATGCTTTGGGTTGAGCTACGGACTAGTTGATATAAAAGGGACACTAACAATAAAATCCTTTCTTGGGAGCAAGCCATATCAGCCCTGAGTAGGATTCTAAGTAGACCTGTTTAAGATTACTTTCTCAGAGTCTTAACTTGTAGTGGAGATACCCTCCCCAAGTTTTCCCAGATCTATGTATGTGGGGAATAAGTAAGGCAAACTCATATAATCTATGCAGTGAAGAAAGCTAGAAAAGTGGCAACTTCAGCTTTTCAAGGCAAATATATAAGCAATTAAAAAGGAACACTGGATGCTTCACTTCTCCTTCAAATAGTCACATTCTAGTAGGATTGCCAGGTCCTACCCGGAGGAGGAGATTGGATTTATACCCCACCCTTCACTACCCAAAGGTGTCTCAGAGCAGCTTACAAACTCCTTTCCCCACAACAGACACCCTGTGAGGTAGGTGGGGCTGAGAGAGCTCTTGACAGAAACTGCTCTTTTTCAAGAACAGCTCTTATCAGAACTACGACTTGCCCAAGGTCATCCAGCCAGGTGCAAGTGGAGGAGTGGGGAATCAAACACGGTTCTCCCAGATTAGAGTCTGCACACTTAACCACTACACCAAACTAATCCTAACCTGCAATCCAGCAGGGGGGTTGTGGGCCCTGCCTGGGATCTTCCATCCGGGTGGGGCTTTGGTCTGCTGCCAGACCAAATTTTTGGGGCTTTGATCTGCTGCCAGTCAGCTGGCGGATGGGGAAAGCTCCACCCCAAAACAGGAACATTGCTGGGTGACCTGCCCAACACAATGATGTCACCCGGAAGTGATGTCATCACATTGCTGACATCAGGGGGTGACACTCTTGTTTTGGGGCAAAACACTGGTTTTTTCCTTCAAAACCATAGTTTGTCCAAAAAATAGCGTCACCCCCCCCCCAAACTCGGCAATGTGATGATGTCACTTCCAGGTTACGTCACTGCATCAGTGACATTGCCTGATGACATCTCTGTTTTGGGGTGGTGCTTCCCACACTGGCCAGCTGCCTGGCAGAGATCAAAGCCCTGAAAATCAGGGGGACCCCACCTGGACCATAGGTTTGGCAACCCGACATTCTAGTAGTGGCAGTCCAAAATCTCATCATGTAATTTTTAAAAACCTTTTCTAATGAATATCCTACTTTATGGGTTCTATAACTTCTTCATTTTACCACAACACAGAAAGAAAGGCATAGAAATTATTCTGGTAGGACACACAAATACACATAATTGTGTTGGGAAAAGATATGAACCAAGTCTTATTTATGGTATTTCTTACCCACACTTTCGTCCCCAGTTGAGGACCCAGGAGAGTTACAGAAAACATCAATACAATTTCAATACACAAAACACCATGTAAATAGGAGGTAAAGGTACGCTAGATATCCTGGGCTGGATTGCAGATGGAATGATCCATCAGGGCCAAAAGGCTCATAGCCAGGTTTCAGTCCCTGGAACAGTAGAGCAGCGGAAGCTAGGCCTAGGTCTTAAACTACCGGTAGCCATCTTCCCCCAGTTCCACTCCAGTCTTATAAGTTGGTGGGATAATTTAAAAGATGAGACAACATGACCAATGAAAGTTGTTGAAACACCCACGGAGCAAAAAAGCATTTATTCTGAAGCTATATATTATGCCTTCTTTTTCAGTTGCTGATATGTGTTTAAGATGAGTGGCATTGGCGAAAACTCTTCTGACCCAGCCAGGGCAGAGTCAAGAAAACGCAAGGAATGTCCTGATCAACTTGGACCCAGGTGAGTTAAAATGTTATGCTAGAACCTGATAAATAAAGCATTTTATAGGAATTTGTTGGGGGTATGTAGAAATAATGGAATGGTTTAAACAGTTTCATATAATTTTTATTAATTAAAATATATGCTTAAGTGCAGCTCACAACATTTAAAAAAAATCCCAACAGTTCACAAAAAAAACAGTTAACACAGCTAAGCAAAAAAAATGAAGCTTTCGAGAACCATTGGCAGCAAGTCTTGAAAATCAGACACCTGGACAAGAATGGTGATATCTAAGAATCAGTTGCAGTTTTAAAAAATGTGAATAAATGCTCTCCAAAATAACATCGTGTTCTTATAATGCTGATTCTTTAAAATGTTTCCAGTTTGCAAGAAAAAGTTCTAAATCAACCTTTAAGGTCTTGAGGAGTCTGGGACCAATGTATCTACAGGACCGTCTCCTCCACTATGCCCCCGGAAGAGCATTATGCTCTGCAGAACAACTTACTGAAGTTTTCCAGCTTTTGGCAACTCATTGGCAGGCATGCTCCATCAGAGCTCTGATGGGAGCGGCCTGGAATGTGGCGGATGGGAGGGGGTTACCGGTTGATCCGCGCGCCCCCCTTGAGCCCCTGTAGAGGGCTTTCTGCTTGGAGCTCTGAGGGGGTGCTGCTCTCGAGGCGGCATCCAAGGGATGAGGCTCCTCTCCTGCTCTCATAGGTCTCACTGTTGCGGAACCAGTAATGGCAACAAGAGGTACACACCGGAACAAGCGGGCTTATGTTCTTTTGTTTTCCTTACCTGATCGGAGATCTCTCTCAAGAAGCATGAGTGAATGAAACGTTAAGCCATATAAAGGATCAAGCGAATAAATGCCCCCAAACCTCAAAATAAAAGTGGCGGGGGGGAGGAAGATCCCACCCCGAAACAAACAAAACGTTTAAAAATTCAGCAAGAGGTGGGGGCATGAAAAATAAGCCATTATCTGTTAAAGCGAAATATATCTGACTTATAAGCGAATCTCTAAAGAGTTCACAGAGACTTTAACAAAATTTCCCTAAACGTAAACAATTGTTTTGATGTCTGGGGGAAAAATGGCGCTGAAGCTCAAAGATTCTTCTGGAAGTGCCAGTCTTGCAGCCCAGGTCATAAGATCGGAAATGACCATAGACTTTCCCATCATGATTGCTAATGCACCACGCCCTCTGCTGGACCAAATGATTACTTTGAACAACAAAATCGTAACTCTCTACAAGCAACCTTAAGAAACCGCTAACAAAACAGAGAATACAGCCAAAGGAGACACCTTTAAATACAAGAATAAGAAAACAAAAATAAACTCTCTTATAAAAGTAAAAGCATCTATGGAACAGTTTCAAAAAATCGAAAAGAAACAAGGAACAGCAGAGGAAGACAATGATACTGAAGAAGAAGGCGTTTTGGAAAGTATTGAAGAATCATCTCCAAGCTCTACAGAAGAAGAATCTGAACTAGAATTAGGGACATTAGCTCCAAAAATTGTAAACCCCAGATAAGACTATGATCTCAGTGGAATTTATAAGAAAAAATAAGCGAATGGACTCTGTTTTAAGTAAATTTTAGCAACTTTGATATAATCCTTTTAGACAAAAGTATAATCGTTTTTACTTTTTATCTTTTGTAATATGTTAATGTTAAAATAAGCCTCAACTACTTGTTTTATTTTTTAAAAAAGCAATATTGTAAGTGAAATATCAATTTAATAATTTGTAAGCTAATCGACCTTTGCCACTTGGGTTTTTAGTGGTTTCTTCCTTTCTCCCTTAGTTTGTAATACCCCTACCTTATGATTTCTTTGTAGTTTTTAGCATAAAAGCAATAAAAAAATTATATTAAAAAAACCTTACTGATGATCCCTTGCCCCAAAGAGGTCCAGCTGTCCCTGACCAGGGCCTTTTCGGTCCTGGCCCCAACCTGGTGGAACTCTCTGCAGTTCCTTATGTAGTACAGCAGGGCCTGCAAAGAAGAAATGTTCTCCCATCCCCCCAAAAAAATAAATAACTAGGAAGTGACCAAAATTCTTTCAGAACTCCAGTCTTTCAGTTGTACAGTTGCTAATGACACCATCTTGAATTTGAATTTATTTTCAATTGGTTTTAATGTTATTAATTTTGTGATATTTGATGTTTTTAAATTGTTTCTAAGGCTTAATGTCATGTTGTAAATCATCCTGAGCCCGATGTAAGTTGAGATGGGTTGATTAATAATTCTAATAAATAGTAATTTTTTAAAATACTGTGGTTTAATTCCCCCCCCCAAATCCAAATTACAGCATTATACCCTGGATACAGATAAATGCCCAGAACTAATTAATAGAAGTAAGCCCAAAAGCACAATAATTTTCAAACTGTATTTTGGCTCTTATATGAGGTAACTTTATATGTGGTGCTCTTCAGACACATGTGCACATTGTTCTTTAATATGGAATTAACATTAATACCAGCATCTGTATGTTAAGAAATATCTATTGAGAAGTTGCAATGTGTCATTTTTCTCTCTTTCAGCCTTTTAAGATTTGGAAAAAAAAAATTATTTGAGCAGGTTATTTTGCATTACATTACTTTGGTTTACATATTATTATTATTATTAATAATAATAATTTCTAGTTTTACTTAGATTTATCTGTCATAATTTTAAATGTTTTCTAGTCCAAAAAGAAGCACTGAAAAACGTAATCGTGAACAAGAGAACAAATACATAGAAGAGCTTGCAGAGCTGATTTTTGCTAATTTTAATGATATTGACAACTTTAACTTCAAACCCGACAAATGTGCAATCTTGAAAGAAACTGTGAAGCAGATTCGTCAAATAAAAGAACAAGGTAAGGAGAGTGTTTCCCAGTGCATTAATATTTGTATGTGTCCTGGAGTTTTTTTCTCCCAAAACCTCAGTAATTTTAACTTTGAGTTATCTTTTTTCTCTTTCTCCCTGTTCTGTTTTTACTGTAGAATGATGGGGAACTCAAAAGCCCATGCATTTGCTTGCTGACTTTTTAGTTGATCCTAATAGAAGATATTACTCTGCTGTTCCTTTTTTAATTTTCTAGTGAGCCCACTTGTCTACCTGCAATTTGTCTGTTGTGAAAGGATTATTCTACTTAGAACTGTCAAAAATCTGCTACCCCATCATGGCTTTTTGCTCCACAGTTCCATTTCCCCCCCTCCACCTGTATGTTGGTATGTTTGGACACACTAAACTGAAAGCTTGTGCCATAAGAACCCTTGTTATTTTTCACAGGGTCACAAGCACCTGCTGCAACATACTGAAAATCTTTTACAGTGTTGTGACCCAGTAGCTGCTGACTGCCATTCTTTTATGACTGCTTTCACAGAAGCATTCAACGCAGCATTCACGTGGTAGTTTTCTGGGTACTTTCCTAGCTTCAGCCCCTGCAGTGCCCTGCCCACCCAAGCAGGGCTTTCTTTGGCCTTTTTTAAAGTGGAAATTGCTAGATCACTATAGCGTTATAATGATACATTGCAACAATGTACTAGTTAATATGAATTCCCAGTTTTCATTATATTAAAAATTCAGTAGCCATTTTTGTTGTAGAACAATGAAAAGGCTGGAGACTTTCTTTTTTACATGAAAACCAGAAATTCAGAAAAACTAGTACACTGCTGCAATAGGTTGTAATAGTGCTATAGCAGTTTGGGAGTTACAGATTGTTTTTAAAAGCCCTCCAGGGGCACAACCGGAAAAGTGGCAGCTGTGAGGTACTGAGGGAAGAAAAATGGTACTGATGTGGGTACCAATAGTGTGCTATTTCTTATCCCTAGCACCTATGTTTTAACTTTAAAAGGCTGGAGAAAAGAAGCATTGGGAAAAAGCACACTGAGGATGATGAAAGGATGATTGCATCATGATCTCAAGGGTACGTCCAACCACATGCAGCCTTGATCCGTGCCCCTCCTGGCTAATTAAAGCTGACCGCGAGGGGTTTCAAGGCACCCTTAGGGTCATTATCAACAGGTCCCTCTCTGAGGGCCTATTCCCAGGGGCTCTCAAGGAAGCGATGGTCCGCCCTCTCTTAAAAAAACCATCTCTGGACCCGGCCAAATTGGTCAACTATTGGCTGGTCTCCAATTTGCCCTGTTTGGGCAAATTAATAGAGAGGGCGGTGGCGATACAGTTGCAGAGCTTTCTGGATTACACTTCCACGCTGGATCCCTTCCAGTCTGGCTTCCGCCCTGGACGGAAACAGCACTGGTCGCCCTCACAGATGACCTCCGGAGGCATCTGGATCGGCGGGATGGTGGTGCTGCTGTTGTTAGATCTGTCGGCAGCATTCAACAAGGTCGATCATCAGCTGCTCGCCCACCGCCTCGCCGATGTGGGGATTCGGGGGTTGGCCTTACAATGACTTGTCTCCTTTCTCCATGGTCGGGGACAAAGGGTGGCATTTGGGGAGGAGATGTCCCGATGGCACCCACTAGTTTGTGGAGTGCCCCAAGGGGCAGTGCTCTCCCCAATGCTATTTAACATCTATATGCGCCCCCTTGCCCAGATTGCCCGGAGGCATGGGCTGGGGTGTCATCAATATGCAGATGACACTCTGCTCTATCTGCTGTTGGGTGGTCAGTCTGGCTCTACCCTGGAAGATCTGGACCAGGCATTGCAGGACGTGGCAGGGTGGCTTAGGTTGAGTCGACTGAAATTGAATCCAACGAAGACGGAGGTCCTTTGCCTGAATCGGAGTGGCTCGGGGTTAGGTTAGGTCCTCTTCCGGCCTTCGGTGGGGCGCCGTTGGTCCCCAAGGGTCAGGAGTTTGGGAGTGCTCCTGGATGCTTCCTTGACAATGGAGGCCCAGGTAGCAGCCACTGCCAAAGCAGCCTTTTACCACCTTTGGCTGATTAGGCAGTTGGCCCCCTTCCTCGAACGCAATGATCTGGCTTTAGTGATCCAGTGGTCACCTCGAGGCTAGACTACTGTAATGCTCTCTACATGGGGCTGCCCTTGGGGCAACTTCAGAAGCTGCAGCTGGTGCAGAACGTGGCAACCAGGCTGTTGATGGGCCTCCCCAGGTGGGAGCACATCCAGCCTGTGCTGAAGTCGTTGCACTGGCTCCCAGTAGTGTTCCGGATTCGCTTCAAGGTGCTGGTTTTGACCTTTAAAGCCCTTAATGGTCAGGGGCCTGCCTACTTGAGGGACCGCCTTTCCCCATACGTTCCCCCAAGAGCACTGTGGTCTGGAGCACAACAGAGCCTGGCCCCCCTTGGGCCTAGGAACGCCAGGTTGGTGGTAACTAGGACCAGGGCATTCTCCCTGGCAGTGCCAATGCTGTGGAACGTGCTCCCCACCGAGATTAGAGCTCTACGGGACCTCCAGCAGTTCCGTAGAGCCGTGAAAACGGAGCTATTGTTTCAAACGTTCCAATAAGAACTGACTGCACCAGTTGGGTCACACTAGCACTTTATTAGAGGGTGCTGCTGTATTTATTTATTTAGTTTTATTGTACTTATTGGAATTGTATGGAATTGTATTTTAAATCTTGTATTTGCCGGTTTTAAACTGTATGTTGGTTTTAAATTGCTTGTGAGCCGCTTCGGCCGGAGGGCGGGGTAGAAGTTTAATAAATAAATAAACAAACACCATATGTATGGTCCCCCAAAAGCATTGCTGTTTGGGAGGCAAAGTGTGGGGGAAATTCCATGTGGAAGAAGCCTACGAGATGAAGTTTGTGGTTTTTCTGAAGTTAAAACATTTTTTTTAAATGGCTTGGAGGATGTGGACATGATTCCTTGCCTAATATCTTTAAGCTAGTAGGAGTTTGAATATGTCTTTATTTTAGTCATATATTTATTCTTAAGTTGATGTTTTCTGCCTTCAGCATTCTGTGACTCCTGGAGAGAAATGAGTATGCTTAGTTATCCTAAGTGACATTGCTGCTTTTTAAAAATATACAGTTTTCTGTATACTTGGTTAGTCTTCTGAGCTTTCAGAAACCCCTACTTCATCTGTTGGTGGAGCTATTTTGCTGCCCCACTAATAGGCATGACAAATGAAGTTTTCTAATGGAAGAAGAAATGGCATTGTGCTGCTAATTTGGGGGTGAGGGGAGAGAAAGAATTGGTGTATGTTGCTGCAAATGAAATTCAAGATATGGATTTATTTAAAAATACAGGTACAGGATACATTTTTTCCTGAAATACAAATACTAACATGCATTAAGCAGTTTGGCTCTTCATTTGGGGACTGTAAAAGAATACATAAATAATTAGACTACAAAGATTAACTGCAGTTAACACATGGTACTACAGATAAATAATAAAATATGTACTATTATGTACAACAACAAATCCCAGTTATTATAAAGGTATTTAAATAATTCAAAAAAAGTATTTGAAATATAAACACTAGTCCTCTAAGGAACTCAGAATAAATTAACCTAATAAAACTGAGTTAAGGAAACTAAAAACTCAAACATAAAATTATCATAAGCTGATTCTCAACATACTTAACCAAAACTTTTAAAAAAACCCAAAAATTAAGCCACATATAAGTACAGCCATTATTTACAGCAAAATAAGTAAAAATTAAAGAAGAAAAGAAATTATAAATTAAGGTTCCCTCCAACAAAAAGCACGTGAAGCAACTTTGACATTAGGGTTTCCAGGTCTAGGTTAGGAAGTATCTGGAGATTTTGGGGGTGAAGCCTGTGGAAGGTAGGGGGCAAGGGTTCTCAGCAGGATATAAGGTCATAGAGTCTACCATCCAAAAGCAGCCATTTTTTCCAGGAAAACCAATCTCCATAGTCTGGAGATCAGTTGAAATTCTGTGGGATCTCTAGGCTGTATTTGGAAGTTGGCAACCTCTATTTGATACCTTTTTTAAAAAATTGTAACTTACTAACTCCTACAATGTTCACTGATCTGTATCTCTATAGTATTTGCTTTCCTTTTAAAAGCATACATCTGCAACTAAGTGGAAACACCTCTGTTAATTATATTGGGAACAGATCCAATATTTTATTTAACTCCTGAGGTATTGACTGAATACTGTCAAAATCCACCTAACCTATTTTTTCAAGTAAAAACCTTTCTTTTTTATGTTGACTTTTTTGGCACTTGCCAATAATAATAATATTCCTGTTTCCTAACATTATGAGAAAATTCTAGCCAGTGCTTTTTACTGAAGCTGCTTCTAGTCCCTGAGGACTATATTCATAGCATGTTTATTCTGGTAGTCCTGTCTGTATAGAACTTACTGCAAAGATGGCCAATGGAATATTAATTCGATTTCTGAGCTCATACAGTCTACCAACAACTGGATTCATAAAATCCGTCATTCTAATTGTGTAGCAACAATATTTCCAATTGCCACATGAAAAATGTCCCTGAGGAAGACTTGTTCCAGGCAAAAGTTGCTGACTCTGTATTGTAGTAGCACCAATGCTCCCTCTAAGCTGTGGAGTCTTGTGAGTATAAATTCTACTTTGTGAGCTTACTGGCATTAAAGTTGTGAGCAAGTGATTTGGCTACTGCATAAATTAGTTTGCTCTGGAGCCATCCTTCCTGAGCTAAGACAAAAATGTGTGAGGCGGAGGCTAAAAAACTGTGAGCTAGCTCACACTAACTCAGCTTAGAGGGAACACTGGGCACCAGAAATATTTTTGGTCTAACTGTATGTCATAATTGGTTTATTATGGCATCATGGTACTCTGTTATTTTTATTTCTCTCTCACTTTCAGTAGATCTTCCCTGTTTTCTTATGTTGCTTTGTTCTAGCAACACTTGGTTGTTCTTTGGAATGCCTTCTTTCTAGAAGAAAGTCCTGGTTATTTGAGCAGTTATGTCATTAATCCAATCCAAATATAAAATG